ATGTATTCACAGTATTTTCTGACAGTAATATATTATCTAAGAAATATGACATTTAATTCAATGAATCATTACCAAAATAAAACATCACAGAATAAAACACGATTCTTGAAAATCAAATACATGTAGCATTTTCGAAGTGATTAAAAATGCAGTATAAAATAATATTTTAAAGCACAAAATGGTATCAATTAAAATTAAATATACTAGTGAAAACATAAAGCTCTAATTAAATTCTATCAGCTTAATCACTTTTCTGTTTAATTATACTAGAAAAAGTACTCCTAGTATTGTCCATTCAAAGTTCAGATCATATAATAAGAAATAAAACTATTTTCTCAAGATAAGAGGGAAATAAAGCATAAAAAGTATAATTAAAAACATCAAAGATGAAACTTGATATACTATATAAGAATATTAATCTAAAAATTTTATTCGAAACATGGGGAGGGGAGAAACATAAGGAAGGCGAGATTATTAAGAAAATTTAATATTATAAAGAATTCTGCAAAAGATTAAAAAACAAAATAGCTCTTGAATAACCAATTGTAAACCCTGGTTTAGCTATGAATTCAAATAAGACAGATTTTTAAGAAAAAAAAAAAAATTCGGACATATGGTATTTTCTAGTAAAAAATATGCAATAATATTAATAATTATTTATATTAATTTTTCTACAAAGAAATTATAATAAAAGATCTTAGTATAAAACTTGGTTCTCTGATGAAAATAATATGCAAAATTAATATGCTCTCTTCATGAATGAAAATAATATGCAAAATTAATTAAATAAAATTTCAAAGTATTTATACTTCTTTCAGCAGATGAAGAGATATGAAGAAATCTATTTTATGGATCATATAAAAACTGAAATCTTAGATAAAACAAAATTTACTCAAAACATGATTCCTATACAATTCTCAAACTTTTTTGCATATAAAATGCATTTAATTCAATTAAGCACATAAACTGAACCTCATCCACAGTCGATAAATAATTTAGTAATCTACATAACTGTCTTCATTAATTTTATACATCCACTATTCACATTTTGAAAATTTTAATTATCTCATGCAACTTTGATCACTTGATAATGGATATTTATCATGTTTCTACAGTTTTTGTGCAGAGTTTGTAAAAAACTAATTTACAGGTATTTTTATTAAAAGATATCAGATATAATATTATCATATATGTTATAAGCTTAAAATCTCTGTAATTGATCATCATCTAAGACTCAACCAACTTACAATAAATTAAACAAAAGACATTAAGCTATGCAACATTTTTTAACATCCTAACAAATCTTTTCAGTGTGCTCTGCCAAACAGGCATTAAACAGAATATGTAAGATGTAACATTTGACTAAACAGAACCACCAATTTTAGAAAAACTGTTATTACAACATTCTCACTCATAGCAGGAGAAACAACATGGAAGAGAGAATAAAAATTTACAAAACTCTGATATCACATTCCAATTTTTATGGCAGTGTTCAAATTTCAAAACTTGCATCTTTTCATAACAACAAACACTATTAAAAAGGGAATTTACAAATTAACACATATATCATGAGTTTGAATATTTCTATTGTTTATGTCATAAATTTTAAAATAGTTTGAAAATCCATAAATTTAGAGATTATGTACAAGATATGAATATGAAATAGTGGCAACATAGTTATATGCAGTCATGATACTCAGCATGTATGGACCAGTATATCAATACTAACTGTTAAAATTTTTGAAGTCATACATACTAATTAATAAACGTTTTTTTAACTTGTTTTATAATATCATCAATCAAGTAAATTAATAAGTAAAAAATATAGAAAATTCCAGCATGCTTGTAAATTAATTAAAAAAATACTGAATACTCTTCTATAATTTAGCAGTACATTTTCAGACTATACTTATTCAAGGTAACACATATATATGTTTACTAAATTTACAAACATTCATTTTATTCATTGCTCTCCATCAAAATTGGGAGCAGAACTGAATGAAATCATACTGTCACCTGTATGGTGCTCAAGGCTCTTGCCAACAACAGGTGCAGTCTTGCACGCCTTGCTACGTTGAATTTCGTGGGACGGGTGAAATAAGTCACAATACAACAACAACATACATTTTTCATAGCAGCAATAATGTGAAATTGGACATTATCAAAACATCACTTGCTTTAAAATTTACTCTTTTCAGAATTGGAAAATACATAATTAAAGAAATGCAGGTAATTTTCTGTATTTCTGTGTTAGTAATGAAGAGCTACATAATGAACTGAGATACAGGATGCCATACACTACTTTAAATTCTTCGCACAGTTTTCATTTTGTGATGAATTCTTTTTAATGCTGAAACAATCATTGATACTATTCATTGAACTGTTGCTGTATTTTTGCACCCTGACAGAAATCTGATTTTTTTATAAAGCTGAATAAATCACTTAAAGGAAAATGTTCTCATGCAACAAAAAAAATCTGCAAATTTCTATGGCAAAGTGTGCTGAAAGCATGAAAAATCTCATCTAATACTTTCCAAACATGTTGGTGAAAATTATAAACATAAGAGGGAACTATTTTAAAAAACCTAAACCTTATGATGTTTTCTGGTTGAATATTTTATTATATACAAACATATTGCCACTATTTTCTAGATAGTATTCATACATTACTGCTTTGAGTTGTTTAAAGAAACTACCGTATATATCCGCGTATAAGTCGAGATATTTTGGACAAAAAAAAAGACTTCAAAGTGGGGGGTCGACTTATATGCAGGGCCATAAAAAATTAAAAGAATCGGAAGTTCAAAAATTTCTTTATATAATGCAGTTGTTTTCTTCCCTCACTCAAATTGGACGACTTATCAAATAAGTCACTTACTTGAAGTAATTTCATGACTTAAGTTATGTGACGAACTAATCACAGAGTTTCATACTTTAATTAGAGTAAGTTTCGATTAAACCAAAGAATTTTCGGCCCCCGAACAACCGATCAATATCGTGCAATAAAAAAGTTTCGCCAACACGCCAAGAAAATAGAAATGCAGATAGTTTTTACGTACGTATAAGTCTTTATAATAGTTATTGTTCATTCATGAAATACTTTTGTTAACAGGCATACACGTCAAAATTTAAAAAAAAAATAGCCCACGCAATAACTGAACAGTTTTGAATATTTCTTTTAACTTTTAAAAAGGGAAAATGCAGATAGATTTTACGTACGCGAATCTTTTCCGGAACAAATTCTAGAAGGTTACTATATACGATCATTTTTCCCCAATTATCCTGCGTTTTGGATTCATTAATTCCGGGAGGATTGACATTCGTCATTCAACCCCTAGATGTCTGCCTCAATAAACCCTTCAAAGTAAATGTTAGAAAATATTGGGCAGAGTGGATTAGTTCCAGTCAACCAACATTTACAAAGGGAGGCAACATTAAAAAGCCCGATATTACATTAATTGCTCAGTGGGTTAAAGATGCTTGGAACGAAATACCCTCTGAAATGATTATAAAATCATTTAAAAAATGTTGTATTAGCAACGAACTAGACGGCACGGAAGATGATGCGGTTTTTGAAAGTGAAAATGAGGACGAAGGCTCTAGTAGTGATTGTAACAATACAGAGTTCGAGACTGAAAATATGTATGATGACGAGCCAATGACGACAGAAGAGTTCTATGAAATGTTTGGCGAATCGGACGTTGAAGGATTTTGATTTCGTTTATTTACCAAGGTATTTTTTATCGTATATTTACTTTTTTTTTTCTCAGATGATTTTGAATAAATGTAGTACTTAAAAAAAAATGTTTCGAAGTTTCTCGATCGATTTCGGAAGTGGAGGGTCGACTTATACACGGGTTTCTTATTTTCTATGAATTTTTTATGTCGAAATGGGGGGGTCGACTTATACGCGGTATCGACCTATACGCGGGTATATACGGTAGTCTTTTTGCATATACAGTCAAAAGTCGTTAATCCCGACTCGTCGGAACTTCGGCGATTCCGGATTATCGATTTTTCCGGATTATAGATCATCATTTTAAATCTCGTAAGATGGCATGCAGAAATTCTAAAATTAAAAATATGAAACCGTAATTTATGAAATAAAGAACAATTATGACCTAAAGGGTATCAAAATTTACAAAAAAAAGCTTAATATTTATTTGTTTACTTTATTAAACATTTCTTTCAATGTAAGTTGTTTAAGTTGCTTCGTTTTTATGTGATAATACTTTCTCTTTAATTCTATAAACAGACATAATTTCTTGTTCAGTTACAAAGTTCCGCTGTTCAAGTCCTGTAATTGCTGTGCCGAGAATACCGACTAACTTGTCATTCGAAATTTTTTCGTTTTCACTAACCTGCCTGTCACCTTCTTCATGTCTTTATCCATTTTTTGCAGCAATTCCACTTTTTGTTTGATGGACATCGATCATCAAACAAAATCATCACTTTCGTTTTCTAGATCCTTTGGGAGCTCCAGCATCGGAAATTCTATTTGACATAATCGAAAGTTCAAGTTTACTTTTATAAAATTGCTCTTACAGTCTGCAAAAAATAATAAGCCGGATCCAATTCGAAGATTAAGGAACAACGCAAATCATCAACATTAACTGAAATAGGTAATTAGATAATTTTAGCTTATACCGTCCGTTATACATTAAACGCGCACGCGTAAACGCCTATGCGCAAGTGTCAACGCGGCGCATGCGCAGAAAGTGTTTAGCTTTGAGGTCCGGATTATAGATCATTCCGGATTATGGGTGTCCGAATTAACGACTTTTGACTGTACTAGATTTCTTTCATATTTATAATTTTATTTTAATTATCTTATATTGTGAGTTTTATTCATTCTTTAATCATATACTACTTATAAATACATAATTGTACTATATTTTTAACAATAGCTTTTAATTCAAATACTAAAATTTATAAAATTACTCTTCATTTGCAATTCAGTTAGAAAAGCAATAAAATTCAATTAAATACAAAAACTACTACACCACTTTATTTGTTAATGTTTTAGAGAAATACAAGAAATAAATAAGAAATTTTATATACTCTAATTAAAATAAATATTTAAATTTATTAAATACCTAGACATATTAAACTTTTTGTGATAAGTTTCAGTGATACATTAGTTACACAGTTATAGTTCTATTTAAATAAATCTGATTAGTCAAGAGTTTGGTTCTGCTATGCAAGTGAGTGCTTGTATGCTCTGGGCCAACTGTCCAAGTTGCTTCCATCTTTCCCCTGCAAGACGTGATGCTGCCTGACTACTCTGAATGAACTCTTCCACTGAAACTTGCATTTCCTGCACTTTCTGTTTCAAACTCAAGACTTCATCATCTCTGTTTTGAAGCTAAAAACATATCCGAAGAAAAATTATAAAGTCTAATCTTTTACATATATTATATAACAACAAAAAAATTTCACTTGAGATCAAATTTGTGATTTCAGGTGATTATATTGCACATGCTTATTTTATGAAAAAACAGATATTGCAGTAAAAAATCAAGTGAAACATTCTATAGGATACTAGATGAATATACATTTAAACTAGCGTGGAAATGTTATGTATCTTCTGCAGATTAGAAAAATGCAGAAATATAAAATGTAATTCTGTAAAAATATTTAATGTTTTTAACTAGACATGGCATGAATTAAGGGAATGTTTATTTAAATCATTCAGATTAAAAAATAATTATTTCTTAAGAACTGCATTGATTACTTTTAAATAGATTAGTTTATTAATCAGTAACAGACAGATTAAATTTGAAAGATAAATATCTTACATTTTGTCAAATGGCAACATATTCAAATAAAATGTAAAACAATGCATATAATAATTGTGGCACAGTTTATTGAATAAAATACCAGTTAGCTTAAACAAAAGACCGCAAGCTCATCTCTATCAGTCAATATCAATATAAGGTCATCAAGTCACTATCAGTATAAGGTTGAGTTTTGCATAATTTTTAAATTTAAACTGGCAGACTTCTGTGCCAGTTTACATTAACTAGTAAGTTCAGCTTTTGTATGAACATGAAAGAAAATATCCCATACATGGTTAACTCAATTAATAATATTACTTCCAGTTTGCAATTTTTTAAGGTTAATTACATATTTTTTTAATCTATAAGCATAACGAAATTAAAATTCAAAAGGGTTTAAAAACTAAATTTTATACATTTCTTAAAAAATACCTGTTGCTTTAGATGGACAACTTGGTCTTTCAAGTATGTATTATCTTTCAGAAGTTCAATGTTTTCTTTTTCTCTAGCCTTAATGTTTTCTTCTCGCTGATCAAATCGTTGTTGAAGATGTGAAAATTTTTCTTCCTCACGAGCTTTAAAGCGCTGCTCATCAGCTACCTATATATATAAGTTGATAAAAAAAACAGTGAAAAAATTGCTAAGCTCATTAAGTATGAAGAACATATAATATCCCCAGAAAAAAATCAGTAAAATCAATAAAGAAGCTTGAAATTTTAAGATGGCAACATGGTGGGTTTAGTAAAATTTGAATTTACAGATGTGCAGAGTTTCTGCATGCCATCTTACCAGATTTAAATTGATGATCTATAATCCGGAAAAACCCCTAATCCGGAATCGCCGAAGTCCCGATGAGTTCGGATTATGGACTTTGTACTGTATACGCTTTTGTCTGTCTATCTGACTAGTACTTTCTTTTGTGAATAAACGCACTACACAACTCTTCAATGAGTTGTTGAAAATATTCTCTCCTTGTAAGTTTTTTTCCAGTAACTTCTTTGTATAAAATCCATGAATTAATTCCTGCAAGATCAAAAATATTGTAAAATACATGAACTGGCTACCTCCTTGATCCTGCCTGCACAGAATATTTCCAAGCCATTTGGTCGGCAATATCGACACCAAATTTTGTTTTATAAAATGATATTGTTTCTGTAAGCTTTTTTGGGTGATTATTGTTGATATCAACTGTGGGATGAAGGGAGCTCAATAATAAGATATTTTTTGCTGTTTTTTTCTCTGATAAACTGTCAAAGTTATATCATCATGCTCCAGTAACAATGTATCGTATAACGGCATCTTTACTTTTTTCACAAATTCAGGTACTTTCCAATTTTGTTTCATCGTTCCAGTTAAACTAGTGTTCTTCATTTTTAACATTTGGAACAGATTCAGTGTAATGAAAAAACTATCTGTAGTTATATTTCTTCCTTTATTTTTGAAAGGTTCTATTAAATGCAAAACGACATATTCAGAGAGAGAGGCATTCAGGAGCTGGCTTGATACCAAATTTATCTGGTTTACTTGGCATATATTGCATGAAACGACATCTGGATTTAGACAGAAACAGCTGTTCATCAATAGTTATATATGGTCCTGGTTTATAGCAAGTTATTGAATTTTCAATAAATTTCTTCCAGAAATGAAACAGAATTTATCTGTTTGAAAGCATTCAGATCAAATAGTTTTTTTTTTTTTTTTTTTTTTTTTTTTTTTTTCCCTTTTGAAATGCAGAAATTTCACAAGTTTTCTGAATCTATCTTTCACCATAGTATCGCAGAAAAAAGGTGAATCCCAAACAACAGACCACAGACTATCAAGCTCTAGATTATTTGCACTGTATATATCTTGAGCATGCAAAATTGATATAAAAACATATAGTTCGTCTAGAGTTGTTGACGATTCATTTTTTCCCAGTGAACTTCTTCCTCTGTACAATATTTTATATGATGAAGCATAGGCCATAGGCTCATCTATAAGTAGCCTCCATGGACTAATTGCACGGCCATTTTCAATATTTCGCTTTGCATAACTGGTTGGGCCACCCTTTTCTTTGAAAACATTATGTTCAGCAATTCTTCCACGCATACAACTTCCAGAGGTGATGCTTTCCTAAAATTTTCCATCATTTGTAACAAAAGTTCCAGAGTTCATTTCATCTGGATTTGAATCTGATAACTTTTTACGTTTATTTACACATTGTTCTTTCTTCCCGAAAGTGGTTTTTCTGCTAGTACGTTGTACAGGAAAATTAGATATGGTATCTTCATCCGAGGAAATATTTCCTTCATCTGGAGGCACATATTCATCATCGCTGAAAACAATTTCTTCATCATTATTGTTTTTGGACTCATTTCCAATAATTGTCACATATATTCAAGGGCCTGACTAACTGTTAATTTACGCATATTTCTTCCAGCCATTTTCTCCTAAGATCAATTTTATTGCATTGTGTAAAAAAAATGGCAAAAATGAAACAGACTGGTACAATCTATCTCCAAGGCAATGCAAACAACCAGTTGTGCAGTCATAAAGAACCAGATGTGTGCTCGTTAGATGCATTGGCTACGGTAGTACTGCACAACATTCCATTCAATAGGCCAAAACAAAAAACATTGGTGAGAAAACATTCCTTGAATATGCTAACCAAAGGCATTTTTCCCATACAAAATGATAACGAGAGGGGAGGGGGGTCTGCAACACTAGCTACTACTACTACTACTACAGCAAAATTCTCAATTGCTCTTCTGTTATCAGTAACAATATCCTGACCTTGAAGTATTGTTCTGCTTACATCTGAGAAATGGAAAGAGGACTGAAAAAGCTCTTCCCGTTCCAGGAAACATTGAATTGCAAATTTAGCACTAGTGATTATAATGGGGTCAAAATGACCCATTTCACAGTTTTAGGTATAAGTATTAAAAACAAAAAACAAAAAAATTATAAGTATTTAAAGTATCATATTTTCACAGATTATTATTGATATAAAAATAGGAAAAGTCAAGAATTTTTTTCAATTCCGTTAGTAACTTTTTGAGAAAATTGAAAGAAAAATTGCTTTTGGGTCAAAATGACCCCATCTATGGTTCTAGTGTTAATCAACTACAATGGCAAGCAATTCACAGTAGTGCTTTGCATCTACTACAGGGAGGTTTCCTATAATGCTTTGCATCTACCATAGGGAGGTTTCCTAAGAAACATCATTCTAATGGCTATAGGAAATACTTTTATCATAGATTATTCCTTAAAAATTTCTTTACAAGTTTCAGTTTTTCTTTCTCATATTTTGCTCCTACTGAAAAATAAGATCTCGCTCTTTTGAGATGCTGTATTATTCTTTGAGGAATGCAACACAGTGATAGACAGTTTCTAAGCATGAAGAATTCTAAATAGTCCTACCATTTTAGCAATGAAAGTAATAAATAAAAAAGAGCTAAAGAATAAAAGCAACATAATTATATCTTAACTTAAAAATATGCACAAACAAAAATTCCTTACATTTCACTTTTTATCCTATATTAATTAAAATTTCATTGTTTGGTTTTCAAAACAATTTTGCAACATATTCAGGGGTCTCAAAAGTTTTTTAAGATATATGAATCTGTTGCTGAATATATTATTAGCAATTTTTAACATAAAATCTTTTAATTTCTTGTTTAAAATATTTGCACACATGTGATAATTTCTAAAGGCTTTCCATAGGAAAGCAAAAGAGTATACTTTCCACCTTTTTGTGTATCATCAGAAAGGAATAAAAGATACAGAACCTGTGAAGCAATCAAAGTCATCTCCCAAATTAGGCAATAGGCCTATGGCTCATTCTTTTAAAAATTCTTCTGTATGGAAATCAAAAATTTTAAAACTCTTTTGTCTTCATATAATTCTCAAAATATTTTGATAGTATTAAGTAAGCTAACAATTTTCTAACATTAGATAAACTATTTCCATTGTCAAATCAGATACTAAAACAAAGATAAAATTTACAGCAAAATAGAAACTACTAATGATGAACAGAAAGTATGTTAAAAATGCTGTCCTAGAAACATTTAAGAATGGCATTAATATGGTCTTCTGACAGAAGGGAAAAAATGCCTAGAGTCAGACTAAATTTGATTTAGAAGGGAACAGTTGAAAAAGAAAACAAGAAATATCTTAGATAGTTACTCTAGAAAAATTTAGAAAGAATATAAAGTACTTAGTGCTGTTTATTTAAAACAGAGCTTGCAGTCCATTTGAAATGCAAAAATTCAGATAAAAATATAACTGTCTAAAAAAATAACATAAATTTGCTTATTGCATATTAAAATAATATTATTATATCACTTACATTACATATATGAAAAGTTCTCTTCATAATTTATATCATCTATAAATTCATATATAAGAAAGATGAGGAACCATTCCAGACCTGCAATGCTAAAGCATAAGATCGCTCAGATTCCTCTTTTAATAAGTTCTTCAGATGTTCAATTTCTTCTTTCAATGAAAGGTCTCGGCTTTTAGCTTCAGATGCTTCAAGAACAGTAGTAAGATGAATTTGCTCCAAAGAAGACCTCAAACTTTGTTCCTGTATACACAGATTAAAACAAAAAATACAGCAAGTAGCTAAAAAGAAATACATTGCACCCAGCACTGAAAAAAATTATGCAGAAAGCTGCACTATAAATCAAAAACATATAAATGCTGTAAGATAAAAAATATGTAAATCAAAATTATGACTTAAATTTTGTTACTGCTAATTTAAGTTATAATTTTGATTTACATTTTCTGTAACTCTTAATTTTAATTTGTGTATCTCCCCACTTCTATTCTAAAAGTAGAAATTGTTTATAGTAACTTTCTGTACTGCATCTTTTCAAAATTAATGTTTCATGTTTACTTAGCATGACAGCTGATACAATCAGATTAAGATACTTTTGACTATATATTTCATGCTTTACTGAATGCACACTCTCTTTCTGCTTCGCTCGCTGCTTTCTTAAGATGTAACACTCTTTTTGTTGTGTTGTCAGCTCTCTAAAGATGTGATAAGCTATACAAAAGTGTAGGGTGTATACCACAACCATGATAATGCGAGCATCTGGTTATGCTTCTCAAGGCTTGCTTTAAGAAATAAAATGTGATGTATCAATGATCACATCAGCTAGTTCTTCTTCTCTGTTATTCATCTATGATACCAGCTCTTGCCAAGTTAATATAATGAGTCATAATTCTAAAAACTTAGTAAAACCAACTCCCTGAGCCCAATGAAACTATCACTCAATCATCAAGATATTTATAGATTAAGAGATAGAGGTATAGAGATTCTGGCATCTCTTAAGATAAAATCATACATTTATAGAAATGAATGAATCTAACCATTGAAAGATCTTGATTAGATAAATGAAATGCAAATTTTGCAACATCATTATAACTTAGTATAGATAGTATTCAACCTTAGATTGAATTTGGGTTTATAAAGCTTTTCTCTGATTTTTATAGAAAACATTTCCTTATGTGAGCTTTTCTATCCCTTTCATAATAATTTTTAAAAAGGCTCTTCTTATTTGAGTTTTTCTTTGGAGGAAGAAAAATACTAATCCATAGTGAAATTTTATACAATTTGTAATCCAAATTGGCATGCGACTCTGTCATTTTCTATCTAACAGAATCAAAGCCTGTTTAAGAGTTTCTTCGAAGATCAGATGGTTAGCAACATTTTAAGCAGAATGAAAGTTTATTAAAAATAGCAAACTAATTAGTAACAGTAATCACATAGAGTAGGGATGGGCAAACTATGGCCCGCGGGTCACCTCAGGGCCACTGGAAGCTACTATCCAGCCCACGGATAGAATTTCAATTTGCCGGTGCGAGGCAAATTAAAATTCTATCCGTGGGCCGAATAGAAGGCAAATTAAAAGAAATATATATTTATATATTATATATCCATCTCCTTTTCTATTTTGCTTAAATATTATTTTTTTCTTCCCCCTTTTTTTTTTTTTTTTTTTTTTTTTTTTTTTTCAAAAAGACAGATGATCCTTTTATTTTCACTATTTTTTCTACAAAACAAAAATTGACAGAAATAGCAAGCACAGACAGCTTTCAATCGATAAAGTGTTGAAGCAGAAGGAGTGTTATCTCTTTCTCGGGAAGCAGACATATGGGAATCTAATATAGGTGACTTTACCTCAGAAGTGGCAGACTGTGCATTTTCAGTTCCAGCCAATGGCTTTTAATTTTGGTGCAAGTTCTAATATTATTGATTGTGTATGCAAAGATTGTGGACATATAGCATCATTGCGAATACTGGTGAAATTATTAAAAGTATAGCCTTAGCTAGTGCTTGTTTGGGTTATTCATAAAATATTTCAACCCAAAAGGGCTACTAAAAAATGTAAAGTTGATTCAGAGTGCTGCGTTTAATGATGAATGGACCTGTAAATAATTTTTTACAATTGTAAAAGATAAGCCAGTGTATCTAAACTGAAGTGAAGCTGTAGCAATCTTTAAAGAAAATAACATTTCCCGTCATTTCACATGTAATAAGAATTCTAATTATGAAGCAATGTCGAATATGAAAGAAAATAAAATGCAGGAAGCCTTTGTAAAAAATTATCAGGCCTACAAAATTTTTTCAAGGAGGTAAACAGCATCGAACAAGCAGCTACACATGCAAGTTACATTGCAGCATACAATATTGCTAAAAATAATAAAGCTCTCAGTGATGGGGAGTTTATTAAACAATGCACGCTCCAAGTTTGTGATGTATTATGTCCAGACAAGAAAAATAATTTTAATAAGCTTATCTCGAAAAATGTGACTTCTAGAATCAAAGACATTGATAAAAATTTGGCATCCCAATTAGAGTCAAAGATTGGACAGTTTAAATTTGGCTCCATAGCTATGGATGAAAGCACTGATATAAATAACACTGCTCAGTTAGTATTATTTATAAGAGGTGTTGATGAGAACTTTGAAATTAACGAGGAACTGGCTTGCACGAGTTTTTTAAAGGGAACTACAATGGGATGTGATATTTTTCATGAATTTCAGGAAAAGCTTTTAACTTTGAAAGTGCCTTTAACAAATATATGTAATATTATGACTGATTGAGTACCAAATATGGCAGTAAAAAAATCTGGATTTCTTGGACTCTTTAATTAAAACAATCCCAGGAACAATGTTGTTTTCCTATGCTGTGTTATACATCAAGATGCGCCCACCAGCGGGCAAGCGGTAAAGTCGCTGAACACTGGTAGTTCGGTCTGAGGTTCGAATACCACAAACGGACTGCCAGCATGGGCGTTTTCGTGGTTTTCCCCATGTGTAACGTGTATACGAGCCAGTTTCCCTTAAGTCCTACATGAAGGCATCCCTCCCCTTAGGCAGATAGCTCTAGTGTGCTTTGCCATAATTAAATAAACCAAACCAACATCAAGATGCTCTGTGTAAATTTGCATTGAATATGAAACCAGTGCTTGATGCAGTCATGAAGCTTGTAAATACTATTTGATCTTGTGGGTTTACTCACAGGCAATTTCGAGATTTTCTTCAGTCCGTGCAACCTGAATACTCTGACATAATACATGAAAGTAAGGTGGCTTAGTGCAGGATGTGTTTTTGAGCGAGTTTGGCAGCTGAAAGACGACATTGGGTCTTCCATGACAACAGTGTTCGGCGGAGTACGAAATGTTAGAAGATACAGAATGGCTTTCATACTTTGCATTTTTCACAGATTTTCTTTGTCATATGAACAACTTTAATGTCAAGATGCAAGGGAAAAATCAATTTATGGAGGATATATGGCCCCATTTCAAAATATATATATCGGGCCTTTTAAGCTAAAACTTAATTTGTTTACTGAGCAGCTAGCTAAGAACCACTTGTGATCTTATTTCTCGAGTTAAATTTAATACCCTCAGTAAATGAAGAAAATCTTAAGAATTATGAAGATGGCTTGAAAAAATTGCATTTTGAGTTCGAATGCAGATTTCAAGATTTCAGTGCCATTCAAACAGAACTGGATATTTTTACCTTCCCTTTCAACGTAAATTATGAAGCAATGTGCTCAGATTTGCAGCTTGAGTTAACTGAGTTGCAATCTAACAATCATCTCAAGCAGTTGTTTCTAAATAAGCCAAATTTAGAGTTTTACAAATCATTATCGAAAGTATGTTTCCTAAATTTAATATCTCCACATGCAGAAAATCAGTGCTATGTTTGCTTATATATGTCAACAAGTATTTTCAATTATGAACCTTAGAAAGAATTATTTCAGAATTAGACTCACAGATAAGCATTTAGCCCCATTCCTTAGAATCAGTACATCTCACTTCGAACCTCAATATAAGGAACTTTTAAAAATGAAATCGCAATTTCCTTCGTCTCATTAACATATTTAAATTGTAATACTTGTATATTGTTTTAAATTTTAGAAGAATTAATCTTGGCCTGCCAAACATTTTTTTTTTTTTTTTTTTTTTTTTTTTTTTTTTTCGATTTTTGGCCCACGACCGAAAAAGTTTGCCCATCCCTGACATACAGCATAATCAGATACAACTGATGAATTTTTACAAGTATTTGTATTAAAATTTATTAGTAAATTTATGGTTTCAGATTTTGGTAGAATTAATTCATTGTAGAAGAAACCTTCTTAACAATGCAATAGCACAATTACAGTAACTTTCTAAGGTGTAGGAGTCGACAGCTTGCAGATACATGCAGAATGTGGCCTACATTGACTCCTATTTATTGACTGATTTTATTTTTAATTAACTGATGTGACTAGGACATTATTTTCTAGGCTATATCAGGCATTGTCATTTGAAAGGGGACAATGTAAGCTTCCACGACACTTTACAGTTTCAAGGATAACTTTTAACACTACAGACTGGCAGATTAAAAAGGCTCACAGAAAAAAACTGTTACAAACAAATATTTACCATGACAGAAAGTAATTGACCAAATATTATTTTGACATGCATGCCTATATATTTAAAAAATAAAATAAAATAAATGATAACTCCTAAAAAGTATGTAAAAGGTATGTAATATATAGTATAGAAACATCTTTCACTAACTGCAGAAACACTACTAATGCTCATAAAAATTGTGTTAATTGCTTTTAAATTTCTCAAATATTTATGCAATTAGTGATCAATTAAATATAATTATAAATTAAATAATATAATAAATTATATTTTGCCAAAAGGCAGCACATAAAGTATAAATTAAATTTCTTATGTTTTGCACAATTTGTTCAAATCATTTAGCAAGAAAGTTCCAGTCTTAGATGGCCAGAAACTATAGTCTGAGTAAAATTCAATTTAAACAAAAATTAAATATTTCTGTTTAACTATGATAATCATGGCCTGATAGCAGTAAAATACAATAAAAGTACATACAATCAAAGGTGTAATTTTAAATTACCATCTTAAGCTTCAGGCATGAAAATTTTGATCCCATTTTTGTTGCCCCTGATCCACTGAATTTTCTTTCAGGTAAAAACACATAAAAAAGTAAAATAACACAGTTACCTCCCTTAGTTGTGCTTTGGTTTCAGCTAATTCAGATTCTAGTTCTGCATGCCTCTTTATGAGCTCAGAATTATCTTCTGCCATTCGCTCTCGGAGCAGACGTTCATGATCACATGATCTCTTTGATGTTTCAGCAAGTTCGTGAAGCATTTCAATTTGATCCTGGCAAATAAGTAAATAAATAAAATGCTATTAAAATCAAATAAAAGTAAACATTTTGCATACAAGTTTTCAAGCTTCTTACTTTCTTTTAAATTTTTTTATCAAGAAATGAGTTTTAAATGCCAAATGAGCTGGAAAAACCATGTTTTAATGCCTTTTGAAAAAGATTTGCTCCAAAAAGCAAAAATTTTCCTGACAACAAAGACCACTAATTTGATTTTCCCTATCATAATGAACACAACAGATAGACTAAAAAATAAGTGATTCAAATGAGGAAATACTTTCCATATTTTTCTAAGATGGAATATCTTCCAGAACAGTAGAAAAAATGGAATATTTAAAACTTGAAAATGAATGCAGATAGTCACTTGGAAAGCAAATAAATTTTTTTCATTACAAGGGTAAATGTAATCAAAATTTTAAAGTAAGATATGAGTTTGAAGGAAACAAACATTACCTTATTTTATCATCACCAGTTTTTAAAATTGGAAAATAAATTATTCCACACACCTTATTTATGGAAAAAAAGGGGGAGGAATGAAAGGAGCAGTGAACCAAAAAAAAATCTGATGTTTTTAAATTATTAAAAATGTTGTTACTTATTGAATTGCACAAAAGTTTCCTGTTTCAAGAATAATCTAGCACAATATATGATTATAATGGCAATGAGGAAGAAATAAATTTTAAATGTGGAGATTTATATCAATCCAAAATGGTGCACATGAATAGTACATCTCACCATCATTGAATAATTGGATTACCTTTATAGTCATTTTATTTCACTGAATGGAAAAATAGGAAAAAAGAAATCTTGTTTTTAAGCTAAAGGGAATTAAAACATACGTAAATAGTATTTCCGTATATGAATTTTTTTACTATATCACTTAGTTTCAGAAATGAGGAATAAAAAATATTTTATCTTTAATTTACTTTTGAAACTTTAAACTTGATTTCAAATTTTCTGAACTGATATTCTCCCGTTTTTTGAAGATGAGTTACAGACTTTTGGAAATAAGCTTCCCTGATCCAACGTTGCCACCCACCTCTTAAGATATCTAACAATTTCAAACTTTTCAGAATTTTTAATTTATTGCATTTTTCAATGGCTTCTTATGTTTTTAGCAACATGCAAACTTTATTTACTTTTAATACTTTTATAGCTTCTTCATTTTTTTCACAGGGTTTAGCACCTTCTCTCATCCTTGCTTCAAACAGATCTGTTTGTAACTTCTCTTTGTTTTCAAGCAACCCACATATTATTTCTTTATCATGAAGTCTCTAAAAAAAACAGAAGCAATTATTTTAAAACATGGCAAAATCTGTGGGAATGAAAAATCAAGATGTTGAACTGATTAAGCTATATGCTTCAATTTTGTTATAGTGAATTTATATAAGTTTTAAGATATAAAAGAAATAACATGAAATTATTAAAATTCATTTGGAAATATACATAATAAGATATTGCTCTTTACTCTGTCTTTTGAATTATAAATTACTTTTATTAAAAAATACAATATAACGTTTTTTATCATTTTTCCTTCTTGCCTGAACCAAGTCAGGTGCAAGAATTTATCATTCTGATTTATGAAAATCAGAATTAAATGTGGTCCAAAGGGGGAAGGTACATGCATACTGTCATCATTAAGGTGGCATTTGTACAGTCATTAAGAATTTTTTCTTCCAAGCAGAAGACATGAAAAATTAACTACAGTACAAAGTCTGTAATCTGGACTCGTCGGGACTTTGGCGATTCTAGATTAGGGGTTTTCCTGGATTATAGATCATTAATTTAAATCTGGTAAGATGGCATGCAGAAATTATATAATTAAAAATATGAAACCGTAATTTATGAAATAGAGCAATTATGATCTAAAGGGTATCAAAATTTACAAAAAAAAAGTTTAATATTTATTTGTTTACTTTATTAAACATTTCTTTCAATGTAAGTTGTTTAAGTTGCTTCGTTTTTTGTGCTAATACTTTCTCTTTAATTCTATAAATAGACATCATTTCTTGTTCAGTTACGTTACGAAGTTCACTGTTCAAGTCCTGTAATTGCTCTGTCGAGAATACCGACTAACTTGTCAATCAAAATTCTTTCATTTTCAATAACTTCTCTGCCATTTTCTTCACTATCGGAAGCGTGCATGTGTAAACACTTTACTGGCTTTGCACGCATGAGTAGTGGACGCGCGTCAAACGCGCATGCGTAAGTTTGAGGCTTTGAGGTCCGGATTATAGATCATTTCGGATAATGGACGTCCGGATTACGGACTTTATACTGTATTCCATAGCTGCCAATCTTGAAATCTTAAAAACCAGTACTTTTTTTTTTTTTTTTTTTTGTGAGAAAGCCAGAAGAAACTGAAAGGTTTTCATGCATGCAAACACCATTTCTGATTGTAATCTGTAAACTGATTTTAATTCACTTTATAGTGCATGTTTCAGATTAATTGACTACTTGTAGTTCAGATTACTGGACCACTTGGCAACAACCTTACCAAGGCGACATAATAAATTTTAAATAACAATGTAAATTGCAATCATTTTTAAATGTAAAAGAAAATAACATTGGATGACTTTTACATAAGAATATCACCTGTGATGATTTTTACATGAGAACATTTCAACTCTCAGGACAGATAGATTTAAATTGTATTGGATAAATTAATTAGATCAAAGTACACTAGGGCTTTATATCTGAACGATCAGGGAATTCCTTTGCTTATTTTGAATCAAATGCATATCTCATTAAAAGATCATAATTTTTTAAATGCTAAAAGAATTAATTAAGGAAAAATCAGTGCAAATTTAATGCAGTTTCACTATTACAGTGGTGGACCAGCAAATTCTTTTAATTCTTTAAGGCTAAAAGAAATTCCATCAGGAAAAATATTAATTTTTTGAAAAGTTGATTTTCATGTTTAAATTTTAAAATTTTAAACCTAAATTCATAACTTTTAAAGCTGGTATAATCCTATAATTTGCAGTACCAAATACTTGCTGAATATCTTAAAGTTAATCCATTAAGAAATTTCAATAACATTGCTTCTAATCTGAACATTTTCTCTTTATTTAACTATAAATATTTTTTTAATATTTTTAATATATTTCAAAATTGTAATGTTTCACAAAAATAAATTTTAAGGTAATCAAATTATAATAAAAGTTTCTTGTGTACATTAGCAGCTGTAACATAAAAATTTCAAAAATTTTTATCATTTACCTCAGTTACAAGAATTTAATAGTATAAAGGAATAACAAATACAAAACTTTGAAAAACTGTATTTAAAATTTAGAATTCAATAGTCATCTAAAATGACACCAAACACCATGAAAACTCTCTTGATATGTTTTTTATCTTAAGATATCGACATGCAATTTCTTACAGATAATCGACATGCCGAATTAAAATTTGCACAAGAATACAAAAATTTTATTTATAATACATGAATGTCGAAAATAATTTAATAATACATGAATGTAATAATTTAATAATACATACATAATACTCGACCTAAAATATATAAAACTGATTTTTTCAATAATTTTATCAAAATTTCTGATGTTTACCCCCTAAACTACCATTTAATTTTCTTGCCATTTTTCTTGATTAACTTTACACTATATTATAAAATACATTTTAATGAAACACTTACTTAAGCATTCAACAGGATATTTAAATGCAAAATGTAAGCTGTAAATGCACAATTTTTAAAAGTTATTAGACAAATATTTTAGGCAACTTTTAAATGAAAAGTTACAGAAACAATTATAAAAATATATTATCATAATTTTAATGAACTTTTGGGTGCAAAATAGTGTTATTTAAATTTTAGTTGCTGCATTTATATATTTGAGACAGTTATAAAAGAGGTGCTAAAAATATTATAAAAATTCTACAAGTTTTTAGAATGTTTCTAAGCATTTAAAGGAGTTTAAAAGCTTATTTCAAATAACATATTTTTAGTGCCAGAAAATCCCCAATTATATAACACATTCATTTTAAATGTTACAGATCCTGATTTCAACATGACATTTTAGAATCAACAAAATTAATACATTAGCATTTGATTAAAATCTGAAATTAAGCTACAATTTAAGTGATCAAAGGAATTTAAAAACTGATTTCGGTATAACATTCAAGTATCAAAAAAATTAATAATTATATAAAATCTTGCTAATTTTACAAGTTTAATAGTCATAAATTTCAAAATTTGTCAGTATGATGTCGATATGCCTCCAGTATTCTATATATGAACATAGAAATTAAATCACACCTCTCTTTTTATTTGCTCCATTTCCACTCGAATGCTATCTAGGTCCTCTTGCAAATTCCTTTTATTTTGCTGTAGCTCTTTCATAAATTTCTCAGTTTCAAGATTTCTGTCTTGTTCTGCATCTCGCTCCTTACGTATTGTGATGATATCCTCCAAAAGACTGCATTTTTCTTTTCGAAATTTTTCTGTATAAGTTAAAATATTTTGCTTCATCAATGTTTTCATCTTAAAATACACTTTTCAAATACTGAAAAATTAATTATAAGTACCTTCTAATTCCTCTGTATATCGCTGAATCCTATCTCTCTCTGATCGCATCAAATCAACAGAGGTCTGCTTTCTTTTCAACTCGATTTTCAAGTTTTTAATTTCTTTATGACAATCCTTAAAAGAAAAAAAAAATCAATTAAAAAAAATTAAAATATTTAGTATAATTTTCTAAGCAGGAAAAAGAAATTGCATATTGGCTTCCTCTTTATTAGAAATTAAAACTTAAATTAATTTAAAAAAAAGGTCTACAAAACCACCTAAATTTTACAAACACATTTGAACGAAATTTGATTATAATCTCCTTCAAAATATCTTCCTTCTGCAACTATGAATAAATTATAGTGTTTGCATAGTAACTAAAATGTTTTCTGGAAGACTTTTAATTATACGGTATCTAACACCATCTGAAATTCTGCTTAAAGACCTTCTATGAAGTCAAACTGGTTATCTTTTAATTCGATTTCAGTTCAAGAAAGGAAGAAAAAAGAATAGTCACAGGATATAAGATCTACATGAAAAGGATAATAAAAGACACCATTGAGAGTTTCATTCCTGTCAGAAACTCCTATGTTTTTATTCAACAATAATTTGATGCATTGTTATGAAAAAGGCCATCAGTTCTCAGTCCCCCACTTTTCAACTAACATCCTCCTTTGATCATTTCAACAGATCAGTATCACATTATTTTTTTATCACAATAGACTGTCATATTATTTTTCCAATCTGTGAAGTTGAATTCTAAGAACATAGAACTTTTGTTAGGAGAAAAAGTATCAACTATGTCTTTGTCGTACTCCTAGTTTTCCTTGACTCCTTTAATCTTAAAAAATTAGAGTGCTTGTTGCGTCATCCCTCACAGAAAGCGTCTCTTGGTGTCAAGGTCATAGATTTTTATTTCACATGGTAAAAACTCAAATTTTTCATTTTGTTTATATAGAGATCATTAAGACTGAATTGCAAAGCATGCAACAAAAGAACTGGCAAGAAGAATCAGCATATAAATGAAGCAAATTGTTTTAAGCAAATGTAAACCTTACATAATTACATAATTTGGTTTATTTCCCCCCCCAAAAAAGTTTTTTTTTTTTTTTAATTGGTTTGATAATACGGGGTTGAAGTAACTCTATTTTTTCCTTTGTAATACATACACATAGAAAAATTGAATTCTTTTATCACATAAAAACAGCTTTGTAAAATAGCAAAATTAAACACAGAAATGCGATTTGCTTTGTTTTATTTTCATATCACAAAATTTTAGCTTCTTTAAATAATTTTAAAGATGCTTATGACATGAAAAATGATTCAAAAACAAATTTAAACCCTAATATTAATTTAACAAAAATTAATACATTATGAAATTTAAAAAATAACATCACACTTACATCATTCATAATTGAGAAAACAAAAATGAATGTTAGGAAAAAAATTATGAAATTAGAAAAAACACTGGATCATGGTCATAAAATATTAGTTTAAGCTATTTCTGTTTTATTTCTTTTCATATCTAAAACTTATAAAATAAATTCATATGTTTTTGGTACATTTTTCTAATTATGACACCAGTAATATTAGTTTGTGTTAATTCTTTATTTATTCACTGCGAAAAGAGCATTAATTTCTATTAACACTGTTAATTTTTTTAAATTTTTCTCTCTTTCCGGTATTCAAATGCATTTGATTTACACCATAATAAAAGCCATGATTTTTAATTACCATTTTCAGCAGCAGCAGTTATTGTTCTTATTAGTCATATTATCATTTATGATTATTAATGCTAATTTTTTTAGAATGCTATATCTTCAAATAATGTTTTGCTATGCTAATTCAAAATCCTTTACATCAGTTCAGTAGAATCAATGGTACTTCCTGATCATCTGTAGAAAAGCTGAAAACTTATTGGTGACTTTGTCCAGAAACATTTGTTTGGCTATCTTTATAGGTCGCAGGTAATGTTATGTTTATGTATAATAGTTTAGAGATTCATTTTCTAAGATAAAAATTTGATTAGAACATAAACAAAAATATACATGAACTATATTTATTCCATTATTGCCTTCAGAACATCTTGAAAACAGTCTTTTTCTTTTAATTGCTGAATGTTCTGCAAAAATTCAGAGAGATAAGTTGAAATGTGGTGTTTTATAGTTCCTTCCTCTTTGCTTCTTGTTTCTCCATTTGAATGAACTCAGTTTGAATAAAGTCATTCAAAATGTTTTATGTGGCTACCACTTTCCAGGCCACCAAATTCACCTTTTAACACTCATAGCTGGCTTCTTGTAATTTACAATTGCTGTATTTTTCCAAGTTTCAGTAAAGATGTTAGTTCCTTCTTTGAAGTTCTGGATTTTTGTCATCAGTATCACTGCTCTTCTGCCTAGAAAAGTCACCAGAAATGTTTATTTCATTATACAATTAATTTCTCTGAAAATCCATTGCCTTGGGAGAGCTCAATCAGCATTATTTTTATGTCTTAATAAATAGACTCTCACCTCTATCAACTGCATTCAGTGCTACATATTTTTCTACATTTGTTTTTGTCCCATAGAAGCCACACATGCTTATTACAGGTATGGGTGCATGTTATACCAAAACATAGCTGCACTTGATATCCCAATTCTACTTTCCAGGGGGGGTATATAATGTATATTCCCTTCACCAACAATAAAGAGAATAAACAGCTGTTATAAAAAGATATGTGTCTTTAAGCCAGTTTCTGACACTCATTCTAGCACTTTGCTTGCAAATTTTTATGTTGACCTTTTTAAACTTTGTTCTTTACATAAAACAGCTTCACAGAATGAAAATTTTTGCATTCTTTATTGGTGGACAAAATGACCTGTTTCTGAAGAAATCTAGTGCTTTTTCATCAGTCGGCAAACACCACTATCCCATCATGATTTGTTATGACAATGAATAGAAAAGAGCACTTAAAGCAAAAAAATATTGATCAGAAAAATAATGTCTAACTTTTTAAAAATGTAAATATACTCAAAACATGCATGCGGTCCTACGTTCACACGTGAATTCGTCATTTTCGCATATATACAGAAAAATATGCTAAAAGCACAACAATACATAATCAGAAAGTACTGGATCACCTTACAACTCATAGAAGAAAGTTAAAAACTAGTAACAGCAACACACTGCTTCTTAATATCTCCTTTTTGAAATATTCTTTTAATGTTTAGAGGGTAAAGATAAAATTATTTAATTGGAATATTGAGTAAGACTATTAAGCCTTGCATAAAGCTGTTGTTTTGTTTTTTATTTCTAATGAGTAATCTCATATAGTTAATTAATTATTTTAGAAAACAAGAAACAAAAATATCCTCCACACAAATAGTAAACATATAATTTAACTCCATAATGATTTACCTGAAGTTGACATATTTCTAATATTTATTTATTTCAACTACAATAAAGTTAACACCAATTTATTACATAATTTAGAATATCTGTAGGTAACAATCAGCATTTACAGTAACTTCTGAAAATGTCCTTTGCTCTCCTGAAGATACAGTTGAAAACATTCCAGTTTCTGGACCAAAGCACTCTTCTATCAATACTTCTGACTTTTATTGACAATATTTTGTTTCAAATCATCCAGAATTTCAGGGCATGAACATGGGATTAAAGCATCTTGGGACATTTCGAGCTAAACATTATCAATGGTATTGATAAGATGATGCTCTCACAAACAGCCAGGGTCATGAAGCAACATGCACCCATATCTCCAGAAAAGGAGTAGTGGAGATGATATCTTAGCCTTGTAAAGGCTAGTATTCACCCCAAGGTAACTTGACTATTAAGAAGTAATACATTAAAGTTATTCTTATTCAAATAACAAGACAGTATATTAAATACGAATAAAGTTTACATTTTAAGCCTTTGGTTTCTAAGATTCTTTTTAAAGTATTCTCATCTTTAGCTTTAAACACTCCTCTCATGTTTTATAGCACTAATATGAAATAAAATTTGTGATTTCCTTTTAATATGGTCTCAGTCGCCAAATGTGCATCAAAGTGCCAAATGTGATAGCCTGATAACATCTCTTTAGCAATAGCATCATTATGAACAAACAGGAAGGACATCAATCCAGTGATTTTCCGTTCTAGAATTTCAACTGCTTTTCTGTTCAAGTGCAAATAGTCATTCCTTGCAAAATTTGTGTCAATTACCAAAATAAATGCAATTATCTGATTCTTTTTAAGTGAAAACTACATGGAACAACAGTTTCTTTTTTCCTATGTCTGTTTTTGCTGAAAACAACATCAGAGAATTGCCCAGTTTTGTACTGTGCACATTAGTAATTTCAGAACTGATGGTTTCTGCCCACTCATTCTATAGACATTTGATATGGCTAATCCTGCAGAGGTTAATTATTAAAAATTTACATTTGTAAAAATACATTCATTTTGTTTTTTAAAGCACTAAAACATGAAGAAAGCAAACTGCTGCATAAAAGATAACGCAAAGACTTGGCACTGTATCTTCTAACAAGACAATTAATTTTAATGTGCACACTAATTGAGGGCCATTCTTAATTTGTTTGATTATGATCCCCCCTCCAATTAATGTCAAAGACAGAACAATCTGATCTGGAATGCCACCATGGCAGCATGAATAGAATTTTTGTGTACTTTCTTGGTAGCAGAACTAATATATTGCTAATACTAGTTAATATTCTTATACTTTTGCATTTTTAAAGTTAAGTCTACTTAAAATAAAAGACATACTAACTGCCAATTTCTTCACCATCTTTTCTCCTTCTGCAATCATAGAAGGATGCTGCTTGCTACTTTCTTGCAGATATGTTCTTTTGTGACAAATTAAGGCTCAGTTATAATTTTTGATGAACTTAAATACATTATGCAATTATGATGACAAACACACTAGACAACACTTCCAGTGTCTTAAATGGGAGGGGAAGAGAAACAAAGAGAGGGAACTTATCTGAAGAAATATTTTTCAGTTTACTTTTACCACAGATTTCGATCAGCAAACTTACTGAAAACTCAGAAATCATTATTATTTTTATTAAGGATTCTGAAAAGAAAAGAAAATTGTGACACAGAATTCAGAATTTTATGTTTGAAACAAATCTTTTAACACTTTTTACTTCAAGAGGTCCCACTGACGGCATTGTCCAACAGGAATCACATTAAATCTATTGGGTTGCTTAGAAAGTAATTTTGCTTTATTTTGCAGAAAGAAGAAAATATAATACATAAATATTTTATTGAATTATATACAGACCATGTTGAATCTATACCTTTTGCCATCTTTCTGATAGTAGCATTATTCCATGCTCATAAAAGTTCTGGTTTTTGTTAACAAAAAACTTATATCTAAGTGATTTTTAACATTCTTGTTTAAAGTAAATGTTTTACCTTTTAAAATTTGTAAAGAGCGGAACAAGTAATAATCTGAGGGTGCTAGATCTGGCAAACATTGTGGGTGTGGTAGCACATCTCCTTTATGTTATACCAACTTTTGATGAGTTATCAAATTTGTATGATGTCTGGCATTTTTATGGCAAAATAATTCACCTTTCCTGTTGATCACTTCTAAACTTTTCAGTTGATGGCATTGCTCAGTTTGTTGATGTCACTAATCCTTCAAATCTATTATAGAATAGTCTAGTAGAAGATTTGAAAAAAAAAAAAAAAAAAACTTAAAATCCCACCAGAAAAGAGCATTTATTTATTTTTAATGAATATTGGCTCTTGAAATGGCTCACTTTTTCTACTTTTACGTTCACCATTGTTGTAAATGATCAATGTTTTTGTTTTTTACTTCAAAAATGGATTCATTTCTTGACATTTCAGAAGCAAACCACAGAAGTCAATACAATGAAGCAAATCTTTCTCTTTAACAACATGTGGAACTCATATATTAAGCTTTGAAATGAAACAAGTCATTTCATGTCATTGTAGATGATAGAATTTGATAAATTAAATATCTTAGCTTGGCAGTTAGTTTTAATAAATACCTTTATTTTGTCTTCACCAGCTTCCAACATTGACCTTCCAGAATGTATTTTTAATATTGAAATTACGTGAATACAATTTTACAAACCAGTTTTGGCACTAACGTTCTGTCATTAGATCTCCTCTACATGTCACATAATTCTTTTCTTGCTTTAAAAGCTTTCTTAGCTGTTCAGTAATAAAATGATGAAATATGCTGATAATGCTTTTCGGTAATAAAAAGCTGAAATATGTCACTTTTCATTTTTCATATTTGATAAAACATACTCCTCTCCTCAAAAATGGGCAGAATAAACAAGTTTTTTTAAATGACTTGAAGTTTCAGCTAACATGGTTTAGAAATTGTGTTGGGTGACCATTAAAATCTAAAATCTTCCAGACTTTTTTTTTTTTTTTCTTTAACATTAAGAAAGTATAGGAAAGAATGACACTATCATACACTGGAAAGGAGGAACTGAAGATATGAAAGTCCACAGATAATTGATGAATAACATTAGAACAAATATTGAAGTTGTAAAGAAAAGTAAAAGGAATAGAAAATAATTTTTCTCCACCAATTTGAAGTTAATTAATATTATGAGTTTTCACAGCTGTTTGAAATAAATGATACACCATTTAAAAGGATATAAATAACTGATTTCCTTTTCCAGCACATAAATCTGTTGCTGCAGATTTTCAATATATTCTGCTTGAGATTCCACCATGCAATCTGATTCCATTAAGCAAAATGGCTTTGATCTGAAAATACATATGATTAGAAAATGAATTTGAAAAAAGCACTGCATATCTATTCTTATAAAACCTGTTTTCTGATAGATAACTGTTAAAATTATAAAAACAAATAGACATCAAAATAAAAAAAAGGCTTCTGATTTTATAATATTATGTTGTAAAGTTAATTCTAAAAATTTAGGATTTTTAAAACATTCAGAATTTAGGATAAAATAGAAAACTTTAGATAAACAGCATCCAATATATGTAAATAACTCATTTATAAATAACCAATTAAACAATAAATAAATAAACGTTCTATTAAATTCTGAAAGAACTCAGTAATTTTAAGTTATGCGTTCTTACAGGTAGTTCACTTGGTTCAGATAGTTCTTACAGATAGATATTTGGTTGCAGTAATAACAATTAACCCACCAACTTTAGTTACAATTATATTGGTTCACATTTGTTTTCAGATACTTGGTTTTTCAATTTTATTTGTGAATATAATTTACTTAATACTAGTGAAAATACTTTATTTTTCTTTCACGTATATTGCTGATCATCTTAAACACCTGCTTGTTTTGAAAAACATTATTTTAAATGCTTACCCATATCTAGTTCATGTACACTTTATATTAATGAATTCATTTGCACTTCTCATTTATCAATGTGATACCCAGAATTTCATCACAAGATACAAAATAGCTACTTTCAGTTTCATTATATTTAATTTCTGTGAATTTTATAAATTCTTTGGGAAATTCAACAAAAATCAGATGTGTCCAAAAACATCCATATACAGTAAATCTTATTCTTCCATCATTACCAACACAAATAATTCTTTTAATAAGTTCCACTCTAGTTATAATTGAAAGTTACTCTAGTCATAATTGTTATAATTGAACTGTTCTATAAAATCTGAAAAAGAATTGCTTTTACATAAATTATTTTTTATACATTTCCAGGTGCAAATTTCGGCAGATTAATCATTAAAAAAAATATCCTATTTAAACTTAAAAAAACAAATTTATATTTGATTAAATACAGGAAAATTTGGACTCAGTTTATAAATGATTTTACAAATCTGATATTCTAATATGAATAAAGCTTCCTTTATAAAAATTCTGGTATTTTTCTGTTAATGGGATGCTACTTAGTGCCAAACATAAATGTTGGTGCAAAATCTAACCAGATAGTGGTAACCCTAATGATACAAAAAGCTTCATAAAAAATAACTATTTTATATATAATGGACAGAGTACATATAATGTTTAATGTGCCCAATGCCAAGGCTCTGACAATGTTAAATTTATGTATTCAAAGTTAATGCTAAATTTATGTACAATTTATGATTTTTTTAAACCAAAACAGATTTAATGAATATAGGTAAGAGTTCATAAATTTTATTATGCATATGTAATATGTATTTTTCATATAAAATTATATTTTGCTTTTATTTATTTACTTTTTTTTTTTTTTTTTTTTTTAAGTTTTTTTTTTGTTGTATGATTACCACAGCTAACATTAACATTCTAATTATAAATTAACATGTCTAATTAGTTAGAATTAATAATTGGAGTTAACATTTCCAATCATTAAATTTTATTTGGGATATTTGGATGGATTCGCACATCCCCCAGTGTAAGAAAATTAGTTTATGGCAAATATTTTCAATTCTAGACTTATAAAATAGAATCAAATGAGAAAATACATTACCTTTACAGATATATCCATTTCAAAAAACTATTTTTATGTCATATAAATGTATTTGTAATGTTGAAATGTATTGATATAAACACTGGGACATACATACAGCAAATATCCTTTTATTTTTCCTCATATTATTACATCTAATGAATATTCATTTGTGTTACTTTTACTGCCACTTCTTACACAGGCTGTATTTTAAATAAGTCTTGACAGACAGTAAAAGAGGGGAGAAAACATTTCTAAGGCCAGTTTGAGATGCAAAAATTTTATCTTTGGAGGGGGAAAGAAAGCAAATATTTCAGTTTTATAGGATTGTGAAATTGATAAGTTCAGCTGTTAGCTTTACCTGAGCAGCCTTCATAAAAGTATTGGCATCCCCATGAACCACGATAATGTTTTATGATGATTCTGATTATTTTATCAAATAGAGGGTGAAATCAGTGCAGTCTTAGTAACTGTTTTACTTTTCTTTACCATGGAATATGTAATTTTTTTATACAATTTTAATTTTTATGTATTTCAGTCTTGATATGCAGTATTTTAGTTTTGAATAAATATACTAATATTTAGAATTAAAAATGCTATTCATAATTTTATTAAAATATTAAAATTACTAAGTAATAACATGTATTTAATTATTTATTATACTTCAGCGCTAATTGCGAACCGATATGTCAGACACATAGGTAGGTAAAATTTCAGGGGGCCCAAAAAACTTTACCGCCAAGAGAACCCAACAGGTTTAACCCATCCCTGGAAAAAAAATATTTTAGGAACTACTAAATAGCCACAATTTCTCCAAAAAATATTACAATTAACTTTTAACAACCATTAAGTAAAAATATTTTTGAGAACGTTATGCCGAACTAGCCTAAATCCCATTATTGTGTACGGATTATATTGCTATATATCTTGAGTAAATACTTGGAATATAAGAAATATATTTAAAAAATATATGCAATAAATTTTGAAAAGAATTAATAATATGTGATTCATTAAACAAAATACTAGTGAGTGGTTTTAATACAGTTCTTACTTTTCTTGATCCCCTTGACAAAATCTCATATTTGTTTGTTTCGGAAGTGATTTGACATTAGCTCTCACAACAGAAACCTTCTTCATGTTTCTGATGCAAGTTCCAGAAACTGCACAAAGTGAATTTACATAATCCCAAGATTAAAAATTCAACTCTGATAGTCATACAATTTAAACTTTTGTGCTTTAATTACATTAAATTGCTTAGATAAAGCTCTCTTTTCTATTATTTTATAATTATCTAATGATATAATCCTAGACCATAATTTAAATCTGAAGCTTTGTTAGTTAGTACAACAAATTCTGCTTTTTGCACAATTTTAACGTATGAAATTTGTTTCTTGAGTAAAACACTTCTGAAAACAGTTCGGTTGCTATGGGAAAAAGTAGTAGTTGTTTTTATGGGAAAGTAATATTTTTGTAAACTGGGCACCAATAAGAAATGATTGTTTTCCAAAATACTTTAATTATAGTAATATTGCATTTAGGAAGTTAATTTAAATTTTTATAAATTAATTCATGCGCATTTTAATATTTTGTAATATTATCCATAATATAATAAAATGCTGTTCGTATTAAATTTCATTATATATTAATAAAAAGCACGATTATAACCAAGGAGGTTAACATATTCAGCCCTTTACCCATTCAAAATATTTTTAGAAAATAAAAGATGTAAAGAACGTTTTTAAAACAACTTATCTTAACGAATCAGGTGCAGGTCATTTTTGGGACAAGATGGCTGTGTTTAAGACTTTTGTTCGAGGATTTCAATCGTCGTCTGTTCGCTTGAATACAATTCTTCATCCACCAAACCCTAAAGACTATGAAGGTAAAAAAAAACTTATCTTTTACTCATATATTAAATCTTATTCATTAACTTTTACTTGAATATTGGTAACTACTTTTCGTAGTTAGGGGATTTGTTTCTACAGCTACATTATCGAATTTAGTTTCCTATTTGTGAAATAATTTTTAATTATCTGGTTCAATAATATACTTCTTGAAGAATAGTTTTTGTTTAGTTTGTATTGTAAACTGTTTGTTTTTCTTGGTTTAAATTATGTTGCAGTATTCTACAAACACCCTTATTAATTTAGTTATGGTATACATTTATGTTAAGCAGTTATTTACTTTTTTTTTTACAAAGTATAAAATCACATAATTTGAATATGAACAGAATATAAATTTATTTGTTATGTAAAGGTTTTCTCTGTCTAAAACAGTAACGATTCAAAGGAAAGTGAATAATTGCTTGAACATCTGTTATGAATAGATTAAAACTTCGCAAATTTGTTTCTTCCTAAAATATACTGAATATTATGTTCCATTCTGCCGCCCTTATATTAGCAAAAGTTTCCCGCTTTATGATTAAGAATTTTATTCTGAAACTTCATTGTCTTGTTCTATCTTTATCGATAATTGTCATGTCTGTTTTTCCTTCAAATTCTTTATTCTTAAATGTTTTGGTGGAGACATATGCTCAGGACTAGTGCAATTGCATAGGATGTCCAAATTTTGTCTAAAGTGCAGAATCGCCCACATATTTGTTTGGCGCTTTTTATAAGAGTAAGAAGAATTGGATTTTTGTCAATTTTCTGTGACTTTTTAAGTGAAAAATAGGTTGATGTGTACATGTCAAAAGTGTGCGCAATGCCATTTTTGTGCAATTCTGGGATATTTTTAAGTGAAAATAGGTTGATGTGTACATGGATACTGAGTATGTGCAATTCTTAAAAATGTGCCAAGCAGTGGGCGATTCTGCACTTTCCCCACAAATTTTTAGAATAAAAAGAAGCACGAAGTAATTAAAAGCTTAGCATCAGCCCTGCACATGCCTAAATAATTTTGCTCCTTTCTACTCTGGTAGCTTATTTATTTGTAAAATAATAGTTATTTTTAACCTCGGTTTTTTCTTACAAGAGGATGGTGGCAAGGATAGATTTGTAATTGGAGGTGCTAAACCTAAAATTGAACAACTAATGAATCTAAATTGAAATTGTTTATGGGCAGTCTGCTTTTCAAAACCAAATGTTTTAGCTCAAACATGGATTGTACATGTCTATTATAACTAATAATTTATTTTAACATAGTTAAAATTAAAAAAGAAATTGATTGACAGTAATTTATAGGTTGCAACATTATAAATAAGATATTAAATATAATTATTTTAAAACAACCTTGATTGGGAATTACCTCAGCGATCTAAAATTTCCTCACAGATATAGGCTATTATGTTCCTATGGCGAAGGAGAAAAAAACTGCTACCTTGATACTTGATATCAAGGTAGCAGTTTCCAATAGATAATTTCCCCATAATAATTTAGATAATTAACTTGTTGCAATCATTTGCGAGGTTGAGACCTTGCTAACCAAAGATGTGCATTTGAGTGTTTGCCATCAAAGTCTAAGCTCAAATTAACCAAATTTTCGGTTGGCTGATCTTTTTAATATGGTAACTGGTAGTTTGGCGACATTTTGGAGGCGATAAAGGTTACTACCTAGGACTTTGGTAATAATGTGAGAAGTACTCAGTTCCGATTGCGCATTATTTTGTGTGAGGGAAATGAGAGATCATGAGATATGTCATGTGACATTAATGGACGAATTACAGTTCTTTAATCAGAAAAGGGGGGAAATCTGGAAAAAATCTAGAAATTTTGTATTTAGCTTTATTCTGTGTTGTGTGAAACAGTGTTGGTTAATTTTTGGATCCCATGGCCCTAACTAAAGTGAATTCGAAATGGGTATTTAGTGGGATTGAAAGGGGTAGTAATAAGTGTTTTTTTAAGGTTGTGCGAGATAGAAGTAAAGATGTTTTATTAAGTTATTTATTTTACCTGGTACCTTGCTGTAAACTATAAGTATGATTTTAAAGATCCTGAAGTTTATTAAAGTTTATCCGCCACGTAATCATGATTCTGAAGAAGATTAGGTAAGTTAGTATTTTTAATTATTTGAGGATATTATATTTATGCATTATTCTAAATGTAAGGAGTAAATAAAGTAATGGTATTATTGGAAAATTGTTATTAGCAATGATTTAGTTTAAAGTAATTAGGATTGTAAGCTAATTTTTATTAATTTAATGTATGTGCTTATTTATATTTTTAAGTAGTGTTTTTGAACTTAATTATATTTTAATTAAATGATAGTTATTTTGTGAATTATATGTTTGTAGGAATTTGGTATACGTTTCAGTGGACGTAAACATGCATGGAAATAATTTAAATATTTGACACTAAGTATTTGTAACCATTTGTAATGTTTGCGGTATGAATTCGTTGGTGACGTTTATAATATAATAGATAATTTAGAGGTAAAAGGTTTTGGATATTTTATTTATTTGTATACTTGGAAATGTTCATCTTTGGAAAGGGTATATACTTTTTCGTTATTAGGTAATTTCATATATGTTCTCTTTAACGGGTTTAAAGATTCAGAAAAATTTGTCATGCATTTTCGTGAAATTTTTCTAATTATGAGAAAAAAGGAGTGTACATGGATATATGGTGAAGAGTGTGCGCAATGCCATTTTTGTGCATTTCTGGGATTTTTTTAAGTAAAATAAGTCGACTGTACATGGTTTAGGGATATTTTAATTAAATGATAGTTTTATTTTGTGAATTTTATGTGTGTAGGAATTTGGTATACGTTTTCAGTTGAAAGTAAATGTGCATGGAAATAATTTAAATTTTTGACACTAAGTATTTGTAACCATTTGTAATGTTTGCAGTATGAATTCGTTGGTGACGTTTATAATATAATAGATAATGTAGAGGTAAAAAGTTTTTGGATATTTTATTTATTTTATACGTGGAAATGTTCATCCTTGGAAAGGGTATATACTTTTTAGCGATCAGGTAATTTCATATATGTGCTAACCGAGTTTAAAGATTCACAGAATTTTTTTGCATTTTTGTGCAAATTTTTGTAATTTATGATAAAATAGCAGTGTATATGGATAAAGTTAAGAGTGTGTGCAATGCCATTTTTGTGCAATTCTGGGATGTTTTTTTAAGTAAAAATAAGTCGACGTGTACATGGTTTATGTGTATGTGTTATTTTGAAAAACGCGTAAGGAGTATGGTATTGTGCACTTTTCCCAATTTTGGCAGTGAATATTTGTCATGATTAAGCAGTTTTGTTACATAAAATTTCTAGCATAAGTGTAATTCGGCTAGTAGATTGTGGAAAAAGTGTTGAGTAAATAAAAAAGAAAAGAAACATGTCTTTACTTCGTAAAGACAAAATGGCAGAAAAAAAAAAAAAAATAGAGGTTTGCTGTAGCAGAGTTGGTCGCCAAGTTACCATAATCCAAAGATCAACCTTTCGGTTTTATCCGCTTTGCGCACTCTCCGTGAGTTTTTCACTAAACTGATTGTACAACTTTTGGTCTCGTTCATTTGCTCTTCCAACACTTTTGTAAGTTCCGGTTGGGATTCTAATATTCCTCTATCTGCCTCTCAGAGCAGAATGCAACCCTATGTTCTATGGTAATTATTTCTCATCTGGATGAGTACTATCACCACTCTTAATTTGTAAAAACAATTCTGAATCACCCTGTATAGCTGTGGGGTGATTTGGTTCATGTAAATATTTTCTCATCATTTGTGTAAGCAGAGATTCTACCGAATTTATGCTAGTTATTCCATTTGAATTTGGAAGAAACAGATAATTTTATTTAATAATATAATTGCAGAGCTCTCTTTAATTATGTAATCAACTGATATAGGTTACAATTACAACATATATGAAATAAAATAAATAGGAGCTAAAGCTTTGAGATTATCTGAAGGAAAAAAATTCATTAGAATTTATCTAAATTGTTTCATTTGGTTGTGCAGTGGTTTTTTATTACACTTTTTTTGTCAAATCCCAGAATCTTCCTTGAGGATGTTTGAAAATACTGTTCTGTAGAATATATGTCTAAAATTTTATTTATTCCAAAAAGAGAAAAAAGGAAAAATAACAGTTGACCTTCACAAAAACTAAACTGTAGTTTACTGTGAATTACAGTTGCATAAAATGGAAGTGAAGATCTTATAAGTATATTGTAATGTCATGCTTACCTATTATTGGTGCTAAATTACATTTTTTGGCAGCAATCAAGTAGCCTTATTTGTACTGTAATATGTTTTTATACTATGTTTATGTTTTTGTGTTATTTATATACTGTTAAGTAAAAAGATAAATATAAAAAAGACTGAAAGTGAGTGTTTCAGTTGAGGAAATGTTTTTCAGTATCAAAAGAAGTGAATTTTAGACTGAGAAATGTTTTCTCATTTTGATCTGAAGCATAAACAAGTTTTCATGATTCCAGAGGCAAAAGCAGTTGAAATTATAACCCATATGCATTAGTTGCTTATATATTAAATATATATTTATTTAAAACTAATATGCACTAAATTTATATTATACAAACCAGGAAGTGAGAATTAAGGTGAAATATTTTGGTGGTTGATCTTTACATTATGGTAACTTGGCGAAAATTTGGCGACCAACTCTCCTACAGCAACTCTCTATTTTTTTTTTTTTCCCGCCGCCATTTTGTCTTCACGAAGTAAAGACATGTTTCTTTTCTTTTTATCTACTGAACACTTCTTCCAACAGTCTACTAGCCGAATTACACTTATGCTAGAAATTTTATCTAACAAAACTGCTTAATCATGACAAATATTCACTGCAAAATTGGGAAAAAGTGCACAATACCATACTCCTTACGCGTTTTTCAAAATAACACATACACATAAACCATGTACACGTCGACTTATTTTTACTTTAAAAAAAATCCCAGAATTACACAAAAATGGCATTGCGCACACTCTTCACTATATCCATGTACACTGCTTTTTTCTCATAAATTAGAAAAATTTCACGAAAATACATGACAATTTTCTGAATCTTTAAACCCAGTAAAAAGAACATATATGAAATTACCTGATCGCGAAAAAGTATATACCCTTTCCAAATATGAACATTTCCACATATAAAATAAATAAAATATCCAAAAACTTTTACCTCTAAATCATCTATTATATTATGCACGTCACCAACGAATTCGTACCGCAAGCATTACAAAATCTCTGAGTAAAACTTCCTGTTGTTTGGGAATGGAACAATTTACAAGGTGTGGCTATTAATTTTCAGGACTGCTCTAATAACACCAGAACAAATGATGTGAAGAACGTAACCTTTTAATATGTTTTGAAGTAATCCCCATAGGTCGTAATACACTTGCATAAGTGCTCGGCTGCATAAGTTGTGGAAACAACTTTTAAAGTCCTCTTTCGGAAGGCTGTTCAATGTCGACGTCATGTTGCATGACAATGCCTGCCCCCACATTGCGTTGCCAGTGAAAAGGTTTTGGGCCAAACATGAGGTTGTGGAGCTGCATTATCCGCCACACTCTCCTGACTTTGCCGCCGCAGACTTCTTTTTGTTTCCCAAACTTGAAACTGTGATCAAAGAAACACGCTTTGTGGATGTTGAAGACCTCGAAAAGAATGTGACTTCGACATTGAAGAGCCTTCCGAAAGAGGACTTTAAAAGTTGTTTCCACAACTTATACAGCCGAGCACAGAAGTGTATTATGGCAGGTGGGGATTACTTCGAAACATTAAAAAATTACGTTTCTCACATCATCTGTTCTGATGTTATTAGAGCAGTCCTGGAAATTAATAGCCACACCTTGTATGTATTTAGTACTAATCGTACTTTCACAAGCAAGGCTCAGTTTTTTTTGTGGCAAGTTATACAATCTTGACTTGTGCAACATTGGTTATGCGCAAAATATCGAGTTGATATTTCAGCTGCGTCTGATGGTGCAACATGGCATGATCAGTTTTTACAATGTCATTTCTGATTCTGGTCTGCAGTGTTTGACACTTTTGAATGGCAAATATTGTGGCGTGCCATCCTGCAGAAAAATGACCTCTGTTTGATAGTCATTCAGCTGTGGTCAAATGTAATTAATCAATGTATTTAGATAAACTTTGCTATTGTTACTTTTTTTAGAAGAAAAATGTTCCTAAAATCTTATGATGCGGCATCCATCACTGAGCATTCACGTTCGGGAACCCACCAGTGACCAAGTGTTAAAGTCGTTGAACGCTGATAGTTCGGTCTAAGGTTTGAATCCCGCAAACGGGCTGGCTACATAGGCATTTTCGTGGTTTTCCCTGTGTGTATTGTATATATGTGCCAGTTTCCCTTAAAACGTCCTCTGCAAAGGCATCCCTTCCCTTAGGTAGAAAGCCCTTGAGGCTTTACCATAATTAAATAAACACAACCGTTCACTTTTGGGCTGTCCCATTTCAACTTCTTTCTGACATGAAGATTTTTGGATCCCCAAATCCTCTCGTTAAGCATGTGTTAAACAAAGCAAATTGTTAGCGGAAAAAGCTTACCATTTTTAACATGTAATAACATAATAGAAATTTGCAGCACTACCTCTTGTAGAATATCCACAGTCATGTAATAAAATTATTCGAGCACGTTGTGAGCATTTTGTATGAGTAGTATTTTTAAACTGTCATTTAGTTTTCCTATTCGGAGGTCATTGCTAAAAAAATTATTTTTTCCTTAACTTAATTCAGAAGTCTTTAATCACAAGTTGCCATCTTTTGAAAATGGGAGGATTTAGAATTAGTTAATTTCGCATAAAAAAATAATACATACTTCTGTTACCAAAAATTAACCAGTTGCTGTTTTTATGCTTTTCCTATTTTCATTTAATAGCTTGTAATATAACCTTTCAAATGAAATCCTCTTTTTTAAGCAGCTCTTTTATTTGATGGATCTTTTTTAAGTACGTTATCTTTGTTGTATTTGATCTGATTTTGCATTTTTGTTTTGTAAGTGCAATGTTTTATATATATATATATATATACATACAGGGGCTGTGAAAACATGGAGAAATTTGACCTATTTTGTGGCCTTTCCGGCAATTGGACTTGCTATGGTGAATGCCTACTTGGGTGAAAAAGAGCACATTGAGCACTTGAAACATGAGAGACCAGAATTTATCCCATATGAACATTTACGTATTCGTAGAAAGGTTTGTTTATATGAACTATATGCCAGTTCTTTATTGTAATTATAATAATTAATGTAGAAAGCTATCTTGATATTTGTCTTTCAACATGAATGTTTTTTCATGAGTCATTTTCGTTTTTGATTCTTATATAAAATCATCTAAATAGCAGTACTCGTAATATATTCAGAAATTTAACCAAGAGCAATTTTGTGAATTTTTAAGGTCTGAAATTTTTTTAACTTTTCTAACATTCTTTTTCTGACCATGAAATACCTGTCTTCAGAAACACTAGAGCCCCAAAACCATCTAAGAGTATCATCTTTCTAAACCAAATTCCAGATTTGTATATTTTACAGACATGCAATAAAAATCTACGTCTGATATCAGACATTTTCCAATGCATGCCGCAAATTCCATATATCAAGCTATCATGCAAGTTGTGTTTCTCCTCATTTAAAACATTAAAAAATATAATTGTTAACAGATATTATTCTGTGCTGTATTTTTAATTGTTTTTGTTACTGAATTTGAAGAACTTAGTTTCAAAGTTTAGTAAATAAAAAATTATAATTGAGATACACAAAGTCCTATGTCAGTACTTATCCGTTAATTGAAGGCAAATTCCAAAGTGACTAGATATACCGTAATTTCTGGAAGAAAGGCCGCATCAGCGTAAACGCCACACTCGAGAAAAATGGTGGGGAAAAAAATTTAAATTACACAGAAACGCCGCAATAGATTAAATTGCACGTGACATCGTCGTGGGCCGTATAGATGCAAAAACTCAACCTAAGTCCTGATATATGACATACCAGTTAAGAAAAATGCATGAAATGAAACCATAACTCAAAAATAAATTAAAGGTAAGAAATGTTTAGTTTCTGTGCCATTTAGAGACATTTTCAAAAATTTTCCGCTTCCTTCTTATTTAAAAACTATCCAACAAGTACTTGTACCCAAACTGATGGGATCTGTATTTGGCAGAATGCCAAGATAAATCAATCCATTCATGCTGAAGGGGGAAATATGTCAGAGTTCGTAATTGCCAGGCAGGTGAAGTGGTGTCGGCCTTTGAAAAAAATTGCAGAAAAGGCAGGGGTGGGGAGAGGATGGGTCCTGGAAGATTCATCGAATGGCAGAGGAGAGAGACTGTTCAAACTGATGAGAATGTTGATTTGAAAGGGGGTAGAATGTTATTGTTCTGAGATCTTGTTTAGGGTGAATAAGGCATGTAGGTCTGTTCAAGGGAAAGAATGTAAACAAAATAACATTCGCAAAAAGCAACTGAGTCGTCTTTTGTGTGGGAACAGCACCAGTCTATGCACAATGACAAGGCCATCCAAACTATGTACAATGACCATCATAGGAAATATTTTATTTTTAGTGCACCTAAACGCCGCACCCGCTGAAAATTTAATTTTTAAAACATGTAAACGCCACGGCGTTTCTTCCGGAAATTACGGTAATAGTCACTACTTCAATAAGACATTGCGAGTTTATCGAGCATTGTCATATTATACAGTTTATCACGTCTTTTTTTTTTAATCATTATGAAATAATTTTGCGTTCCATAAACTAGCATCTTAAATTAAAATATTAAGAGTGCCATCTATTGATAGTACTACTATATTTCATCACTTTGAAATTTGCTGGGCATAACTGATAAGTATGCATGTAACATACTGAAAGCATTTAGAGCAACTAGGTACATATGCACACACACATTCATTTTTCTCATTTATCTTCGTGAAGAACTGCTTTGTCAAGACAGGAGAATGATAAAATGAGTTTTTTGACTGAGGAAAATAATTTTCACATGGGTTTGTCTGAAATGTAAGCAAGGTGATGTGCAAGTATCAAGATAATAAAATCTGATTTGAGTTGCAGAATTCTAAAATAAGAAACAAAGAGCCATATTTTTGAAAGAAATTTACTTGCCTTTGGGTGAAAAATATTATTTCAGAAGCATTATTCAGCTTTTAAGACATTAACTTGCAAAATTTTATAAAAGAACAAGAAAATAAGTCTACTGAAGAGCATTTTTACTTCCTTGTACGAAGTAAAAAGGAAGTGTTGTAATCGTGAAAAGTTTCAGGCAGCATATTTCAACGAAAATATCCATTTTGACCGCTATCGAATACAATTTAACGATGTTTTTGCGTGATATCTGTACGTAAGGGCAGAATAAAAGACTTGTTTCCTCCAAAAAAATTATAAAACTGCTTTAAAATGAATTCTGAAGAGAATTTTTCGTGGCATCTGTACGAACGTACGTATGTATGTATCTCGCATAACTCAAAAATGAGTAGCCTCAGAACGTTGAAATTTTGTATATAGGACTGCTATAACATGTAGATGTGCACCTCGTATTTTGGTTGCAATCGGCCGCACCAAATGTATATAAATATATTTATATATATATCCACTCTGTCACCCGGCTCAGCGATCTCAGTTTCTTTGTTCGTATTTGAGTGTAAATTTAACATTTTTTGCTTTAAAAATGATTGAATTATGTTGTTTTTATCTTCCGTTTAAGGTTTTTATGCCTTTAGTAAATCTGTATGCAATATTTTTAGAATTATCAATAATTTTAAAGTTGTTTAAATGCTGCTAAGCCTTTTTTTTTATGGCGGCCATTGATTGTTTACATTTGAAACAGCAGACTGGTGGATTTGTTGCCAATCTAGAGAAACTTAGCTTCGCAACAACAAAGATAACGCCTTCATTTATTATTGCCAATTAAATCATGCTTTATCCTTTCTGGAATTGTTTCGTGGAAATGAGTGTTTAAGATTAAGTTCGTAATTTTTAATATACCTATTTTCGATTTTTATGTATTTTTGCCTTCTCGCGAAGTTGGAACTGAATTAATTGAATGAGAAATACTCAATCGTCTGTGAAAAACCGTTTCTTTTTTGTTTTGTTTGCTTAATTTCTTTTATATATCATTCTAGCTTTATTATGTAACATGTGGCAACAATTAGATAATTCTATTCTTTAAATGATATAAATTTTGTGCATTATGAGTTATAATGTGAATGAAATACAATACTATTAAGTGAATCTAGCGCCAGAGTGTTGCTAGGGTAAACAAATACTAGAGTGAATTTTAAAGAATGCATTTATTCTATTGTGGTTTATGCGCTGTCGGCGTATTGGATTTAATACAATCCAATAAGTTTAAATGAAATGCAAGAAAAAATGCATATAATTTAATATTCCGTACAAGGAAGTCGTGGTGTACACATTAGATTTTTTTATACTAATTTGGCTGAATTTTTAGTTATACATGCTGATGTTGTCGGAATAATTGCACCCCCTTCCCATGGTAAGATATTTCAATAAATATGATAATGTTAGTCTGAAATTTTTATGGATTATATTTTAAGTCGGAGCAAAATTTTATCATCCCTTATTTTAATACAGGCGAAATTTACAGAATCTAAAAAATACATTTGTTATGAAATTTTAATTTATTGAATTAATTTGAAAAGCTAAGCATATATTTATAAATATTTATTAATTCTAGTATCAAACTCGTAATGTGTTCAGTTTAACATGCAGTAAAATTGTTATGAGCTGATTTCCTTTGTGGCATCATTTAGAATATATATTTGATTTAAAAATAGCTTTTATGTAATTTTTCTTTGCCAGCTAGTGTGTAAATACATATTACATCAAAAATGCTTTATAGAAAATATATATTTTTATTTTAGAGATTTCCATGGGGAGATGGCAACAAGACACTCTTTCACAACCCTCTAGTGAATCCATTGCCAGATGGATATGAAGATATTGATCACCATTAATTATGTTTTCAATGTGGAATTAAATGATTAGTTATATTAAAGTTCTTGACATTGTTTGATGTATAGTGCTATTTCAATAAAATATAGTCCAAATGCTTTTTTGTTTTTTTTCTGCAGGCGTTAATTAGTATGTTATTTAATTCTTTTGGTTATTTAAGTAACTAAATCTATTAAGATATATCAGTAATACTTTTGTGCATTCCTGAATATCATTGTAATTGTATCATCTGTTACTATCATTTTGCATTATTTGAAATCCAGAATCAAATATTAAATGAAAATATAGATCTCCAACAAACTGAAATATTCTCCTAATGAAAATTCTTTTAGTTTTGAAGTTTGCAGTTGAACTTAAGCAGTCATTCAATTAAACTATCAAACTGATTCAAATTTGACATCTTCGTAACCAGTGAGTTATAGTAAATGATGGGAACATTTGTATCATTTAAAGAAAGTGTTTATTCATACATTTCATAATGATCTACATAATTAGAATATTTATATTCTGTTTCTAACAGTTGTGTTACATTTAGAGCAGAAATAGCCAACCTTTTGGAACTTTAACCTGCATGGCTTTTTAACCTTTTGATGGTCATCAACAAGCTCAGCTCGCATTCCAGTTACATACTGCAGTGGGTGCAAAAGAACACAACTCTGCTTACAAATTTACAACTGGCTGATATTGTTCATATTTGGGAAGAAAGAATTTCTTAATCTCTCAAACATTGAACAATTAAAAGCATACCAAGTGCCATAATACTTAATAAAAGTCTAGTAACAACTGCACATACATTTTTTTTAATGCTACTGTATGTATATCTAGTGATCCAGAAAGTTATATTGAATATAGTCTTCTGAAAATTTTGTTTCAAACTGAAAAGTTTGTGTTCTTAAATAGGCATATTTCCAATAACAGACATGAACATAAAATATAACTGGAAATTTTTTTCTAGCAGCTACAAATTGTGGGAAACCACTGAAACAAATTTTTTTCGCTGTTGCATATCTTTGTATTCAGTTTTAATTTTGCAACTAAGGTTCACAGCAGATAAGAATGCGTTAGCAAATATAGTGAAACGTAATGTTTTTAAGCTATATATTTTGCCATTTGCATGAATAGTCCAGACAGAAAATGTATTAAGTTATTGTATTTAATGTGAGAGTGTAACAGTTTCAATTGAGTTTCATATATTTTATTCAAATATTAATAATTTACTTTGTTCTTAAAAATGTATTTTTAATTTCCTTTATGTCAGTAATTATATCAATTAAAAATCATACAACTTCTCATTTTCAAATTCAGTGGCACATGCTGTTATCCTTTCTTCTATTTTTTACTATACTATGGGATGTTATATCAATAAGCTCTCAAAACAGTGGATTGAACTTGCCTGCTTTACAATGTTATGCCATGTTTCGTCCAGTCCTTAAAAGTCTTTAGGAAAAAAATTTTGGTTCTTAAATGTCCATAATTTTGGCCAAAATTATCAAGACTTCCGTAATTTTGCCCATCTGACATATTTCTGTCTGTCTTTTTACAACTGCCATTTTGAGTGTGAATAAACATTTTGAAAAAAATATTTTTTGATGATGCATATGGCAAATATGTATTTGGGTTAATGTTTGAATTCTTTCCTCCTATTTAACATAAATGGTGTTACTCGAGTTTTAGAAGCATGATGCCCTGCTTCGGTTGAAGCGTGAACATTTCAAGTTCTTTTTTTAATGAAGAATTTATAAAATATTACATCAGAAATTACTTTTCTCTTTTTGAGATAGCTATACTATTAAAATCTGTGTGCATCTGTCAGTTTGTTTGTTTGTGACATCATCTCCTCTGGAAGGCAGGGAGTTGAGTTTTGAGAGAGGTACCCTTCGATTTCAAAAATTTATGGGGAGCCATTTCAACGATTCTCATCTTCGTAAGACTTAAATCAGCAGAGATATTAACTTGAAAATGCCAATTTTTACACTTATTTTTTCCAAGTGGCATAAGTCTTGTACGCCGGAGATAAAAATGTTTTATTTCAGAAAGTGTTACGACTGTTTGCTTTCAAATTCTAGAGTTTGTTAATAAAAAATTTGTAAGTTTTACAAAATTCGAAATAAAAATAGCATTGCCAAACATTAAACTCATTATTATTTTTATTATTATATATGGTCATAGTCTGGCATTAAAGAAAATGCACGATTGCATGTAACGTCATGTGTTGAAAATTTTTTATTAAAGTCGGCATTTTAAATAAATAGGAACAATTGGCAACTTTTTTGTTTCAGGTTAGGATAATTGACATATGTTATTGCCATATTAATTCTTATGTTGATATTGAGAAAAATTTGTAATATTGCATTAAATTCAAATCACATCATACATATATGTATTAACCTGAAGTCTCAAAAATTTATGTTTCCTAGTTTGGCAACAAAAATTTATTTACGAATTGGTTGTTGCTTGGAGAGAATGAACTAATTTCATTCATATTGAAATTTTTTATGCATTTTCTTTTCAGGTGTATATAGAACTTAGGCCATAGCCTGTTTATTTGGTGGGGTTACGTGCTAGTAAGTTCTTTTATTATGCAGCGCTAAATTTGTCAACTTCATGAACATTTTCGCAATTTTAAAATCAGTTTAGATACAAAATTTCTTATTTAAGTTACATTACTTTCCATTTTGATGACTTAGAAATACAGGGTTATTCAAAAAGAAAGAGCAGATTGCAAACATGTATTTCTTCCAAACTACAAAAGATAGAAACATGATTCTAATGTTAATGGATAGAGAAAAGTGTACAATTTAGTGCGGGTAAAAGTTCCTAATCATGGACTGCATTTGGCGCTATTGTTAGTTCCTGGTATTGTTTGTTGGTTGGTAGTCTGTAGTGAAATGGTGGCGACACCACAGCAGAAGTCTTTTGTGTTCCACAATTTGGCAAAACTAGAGTCCATTGTTGCAGTTCAGCCTAGCATTTCGCACTGCCAAGTTTAATAAACAACCACCGCGTCATAAGCAAATTTACGAGTGGCATCGAACAATTCGTAGAAGATGGTTGTATCTGCAAAGGGAAAAGCACGGGACATCCACGCACATCATTGGAACAAGAACGTCGAGTGTATTCATACACTTTACGAAAGGAGCCCAAAGAAATCCACATTGCGCAAGCAAGGAACTTAAAATTCCTCAACCAACGGTATGGCAAGTTCTAAAACATCATCTGCACATGAAGCCATATAAACTGCAGTTATTGAATGCATACCATAATTGTAAACTTTTCTCTATCCATTTTATCTATTTTCTCTATCCACATTAGAATCATGTTTCTATCTTTTGTAGTTTGGAAGAAATAAATGTTTGAAATCTGCTGTTTCTTTTTGAATAACCCTGTATTTTGATTCTGAAAATAAACATAATAAATTCTATAGAGCACAGTTTGCAAAGTACTTCGAAAAAACAAAAATGCTACTGTTCCTATTTAAAAATGAATTTCATTTGTCTTTTTTATTTTTTTCAGGTAATTGTTTCAAAAGATTTAAATGTTTGTCAGTTTGCTATTGAAAATTCACTTTTTACAAAAATATTGGCTTTTTGTTTTTATAGAGCTGGTAGGGATAATTTTTCTTTCATATTTCAGACCCTGCATCTTGGAAAGTCTAAAGGTTTATAGATTATTATTTCCAGGGCAAAATTTATAGACCTACAATTTCCTGAAAAGTGTCTTCTTGATATTAACACATAATAGATGTATTTTGTAGGAAATTTGTGATAAATTATCTTTTGGTGAAAGCAGTGAAAAAGAAAATTGAATTTCTCCTTTTTATCTAAGAAATCTTTCTCTTAATATGTTTATCTTTCCACTAGACACACATATCCAAGCAATCAAATTAAAAACTGAAAGTTAATTAAAATTTTCATCATATATGTCTCAGTGCCTGTCCTAAATTTTAAAAATTCTGTCACACTGGCCCCAGTGTTGGTCTTGACCTTATATCATTTCATGTTTATTTTCAATACTTATATTATTAAAAAAGTAAAATTAGTAGTTTCTTCTATACATTTTAAGTACAAGCAGATCTTTAGAATAACAAAAATCTTTGATTAAATCTGAAAGTTCCAAAATGAAAAGGAAATTTATTCAAAAAAGAAATTGGTTTTACAAAGAGAAAGAAAAATGATTCTTCAGAAAATATGCTAAAAAGGATTATCTGGAAAATATTCAAGTTAAGCACGAATATTTTGTTATTGCTACAAAACATAGTTTTTAGTTCCTTTTAATGGTTAATTGTACTAATATTTTAAAATCAATATCCTAAATTCTAACTGCTGTATAATGTTCTTAGTTCTTTTTAATGGATATTTTTTAGAAATTAAAAAAAAAAGAGAAAGAAAGAAATTAATGTAAGTCATGTAAATCTATTATGACTAAGAGTATCTAACTATGTAATTTAATTATTTGTAACTAGCTGCTCACCCTCAGAAGTTATCTCTATATGTTAAGGTGAGTTATCTTCTTTCCTTAACCCTTATTGTGTATGCAAGATACAACACAAAAATGTAAAAGTAACATAAAAATTTATTCCTTACAACTAATGAAACTTAATACAAAATAACTTATCATCTCTGATACTTCAGTGGTTTATTGGAGCTCTATATTAAATACTATTAACTTGGTTACAACTTCAGCAAATCTACATTAAGCTATGACACTAGGTGGGACTAAGTGCAAATAAGTTGCCAACTTTAGGCATTTACGTCTGTTCTGATCAGCAATTCTCTGTCTCTAAGCTACCAACTGCTGTGTAACAGTCATACAGATTACTATTTCATTTCACTGTTTAACTTATACCACTTCACATCAAATTTGCATTTACCTCTGAACTGACTAAGAACATGATGAAATGAGGCATAAAAGAGAGAATCAATATAAAGCTGTTAGTAAAATTTAAATAAAAAGCCACTAGTCATCTTTAAAGTATGTGAGACAACTATAAGTGTAAAATATAAATGTTTCAAAAATTTTATAATTTAATGCTAATTACTGCATGTCCTGGGCAGTATATGATTCCTCTCGTCTTTGTGATTGGGACTTATTTCCTAGGA